GGTGTAATCCTGTCCTGAAGCATCACAGCATCACCCAACCTTTGAGGTCTTAGCTGTGGCTGGAAGTGAAAATGGAGTTAAGTCTCGACATGCATAGCTGGTCTGTAGGCAGGAAAACTAGGCCCTAATCATGATTTAATTTTGAAATGATTTTTCCCCAAAATTATACAGAATTACTCCCAACAACTTTTTTATTGCTTTTAGAGTTGAAAAAGTTACCAGTCCTTCACAGATCTGATAAACACTCTATTCTCATTTCTTCTAGATTTTATTTGATGTGATTTTTGTATTTAACACTTCAGTCCATTTGGTGTTTCTTTTTGCAATATATGGCTAAGATACAGATCTGATTTAATTTCCTCCACAATTACTATCTCATTATTCCAACACTATTCAAAGGAAATGTCCTTACCTCAGAGTTTAAGAACACCTACAATGTCATATAATGAGTTTATTTAGAGGATTCTATTTCTGGCTCCTCCATTTTGTTCACTGATGTATTTTTTCTTCTTTTTTTTGCCAGAAATACGTTGTATTCTCTCCTGCTTTGTTAAAAAAGACATCGATTTATGAGTAATTATCCAAGGACCTTACAGTAGAGTCCTGTTATAATATTTTGGATGTTTGGGGGGAACACTTTAATAGATAACAATTGGTACTATAATACATACTGTATTTAATAGATCAAATCACTAATTTTACTAATATACAAGTGATACATGCTCTTAGTAAAGCTTTTGTTAACATTTTTGAGATATAGTTTATTTGGAATACAACTGACACCCTTAACATTTATAATTCAGTGGCTTTTGTATATTCATAAATATGTGCAACCATTGCCACAATTAATTTTAAAACATTTTCATAACCCCTACCCCCCAAAGATTGCCATTAGCTGTTACCAGCCCTTGCTGTCCAATGCTTCTACTGCTTTAGCCCTGGGCAATCACTAACCTACCTTCTACCAGCCTATTTCTGACATTTCATATAAATGGATTCATGTACTATGTGGTCCTGTATGACTGACTTCTTTCACTTGACATAATGTTTTCAAGGATCATCTATGTTACAACAGGTAACAGCACATCATTTCTCTTTATTGTCAAATAGTATTTCAACATGTAGGTTTTATTTATTCAGTCATCACTTGAACATTTGAGTTCTTTCACTTGTCCATTGAGTGTCTGACACTATGAACATTTGTGTACCTGTTTTTTATATTGATATACATGTATGTTATTTGTTTTTGCTTTTTGGTACCAGGAATTGAACTCAGGGCCTCATGCTTGCCAGGCAGGTGCTGTGCCGCTGAGCTACATCTGTGGCTTTTTTTATGTTATTTTTTATATATGCCTAGGAGTGGAATTACTGGATCAGGTTGTAACCAGAATGTGAGTTTTAATTTTTACTAATATTGTCTGTTATGCTTTGTGTTTAGATGTCCCCTCCAAAGCCTCAAGCAGATGAGGTGAGATTTTCTTTTTCAGAGGTAGTTGAATGTAGAATATGCGATGCTAGGATTAAGGCCGTGTGATTACTAAACCACTACACATGAGTGATTGGTTTGGCACCATCCTAATCCCAGAAGTCTGAATGAGATAATAGAGGCAGAAAGACGCTATTATACTTCCTTGTTGCCTTTGTTACCTTGTAGGTGCTATAAGCTGTTTCTTCTCTGCGATGTTCCTCCTGTGCCGCCTTGCTGCTTTTTGCTGTCTTCCCTCAGCATGAAGTGTTCCCCCTTTTTACTTTTGCTACCTTGTGTACATGTTGTTTCTCCTCTGTGGTGCCTGTTTGCCATACCTGCCTTGGAGCCAGCCAATTATGGACTGAAACCTCTACAAGCTGGAAGCTAAATAAACCTCTTTCCCTCTAACTTTGGGTGTCAGGTATTTTGTCTCAGCAAGGAGGGAAAAATAACTAACACACTGTCTTCGTGCTTGTTGAGATAATCTTGATTCCCACCTCGATAATTTAGCAAGAACTTATTTCAAAATAAAAAATTGGGCCAGGGTTGTAGCTCAGTGGTGCTGTGCCTGCCTGGCAAGTGCAAAGTCCTGAGTTCAATCCCCTACTTTAAAAAAAAAAAAAAAAAAGAAAGGAAGAAAGAAAGAAAGGGAAGAAAAGAAAAGAAAAGAAAAACGGGCTGAGGATTCAGATCAGTGGTAGAATGTCCCTGGGCTCAATCCCCCAGTATGGCCAAGAAACAATAAAAAAGTGCAGCATTTTATACTCCCATCTATAATATTGATTAAGGCCTAATTTCTGCTTTTGGAAAGGTTACCATCCCCCAAATGGAGCCTGATCTCTCCTTCTTAAACTTTGCTTTTCTATGGATAAACTGGTACCAAAGTTTGAGGAAGGAGGGGAGATGAAGAGGGTAGGAGAGGTATGGGGCCACCAGTTGAATATGCCGAGTTGTACAGCAGCCCCATTTGGAGATTATCCTGGTCAAGGCGATGACTTCTGCCTCTTTTAGTGCATAGGGCTATGGCTGCAATTCTCACCTTGGGATTTGATTCAGCAAATGCTGAACAAAGAACAACACTAAAAGATCACCTGAAGATGATATGGACAGGAGACAGGAGGTGCCACCGTCACATGTGGGAATAACCCTTGGTGCTTGTCTTTTTATTGGTTGGGAATCCTCAGCCACTTTCTATTTTCAGTATTTGTCAAAGAAATGTGTCTTGAGGCTACATCCCTTCCCTTCCCCCAGCCCTTCAACAAACATCCTAGCAAAGAGGAACCAGAGGTTCTGCTGTCAAAAGGAGAAGGTGTGGTAGATGCTCACAGAAAACTAGATTAAAAGTAACAGCCCAGGGCAGCTACCCTTACCAGCGCCTGGAACTTCCAGGTGGTGAGCAGGTGGCCCAGGGGTGGGCCAAGGCAGGTAGATGCCACTACTTCATTACAGTTCTCACACTGTACTTGTGGGCATCTTTGGGCCCTGTCTTACTAAGTCATCCAATGTGTCACAGCGGTGGATACCAGGGTGTGCTGCCTGCCCTCTACCCAGAAAGACTTGCTGCCCCAGCTGCAGGGGCCTTTGGCTATCACCCTTCAGAACACACAAAGGATGGGGGAAAAAGATGAAGCGTAGAGATGGTCAAGAGGCAGGAAGAAATAGTTTCCTTTCAATAAACCAATGAATCCTGGGGTGCTGTCTTCTCAGCGTTAGAGATTTGAGAGAGACAATGGACAAGTCTTTATTGAAAGGTCTCATTGAGAAATGCAGGAGATGGAAAGCATATGGAAACAACCTAAATGTCCAACACCAGGGGACTGGTGAAATGATAATACAGCCAAACCTAGGAGATGATGCAATCACTAAATACATGCTGCAGATGACTGTTCACTCACCTGGAAGATGTTAATGTGCAAAAGCAAGCAATTCAACAGTAGGTACAATATCATCCCATTGCTTAGTGTAAAATGGGGATGAGGACAATATTACCTACCTCTCAGGGTGTTGTAGGATTTAATCAATTAATATATGCAAAGTGCTGAACAGTACCTGGAGCAGCAGATGCTGGACAGCACCACCCTTATTATCACCACTTCGTTTAAGTATTCAGTTCCATTATTCTAACCTTAGTGAGTAGAATACATGTGGTGATTCAAAATTGTTCAGATTTTCCAAAAACACAAAATTACAACAAAAAAAACCCCCTTCGGTGTGTCTGAGGCAACAACTCACCATGAAGCTCATTGGTGTTTCCTTCATGAAACAAATATTTACACCAAGTGGGAGAAGTAAAGACTGCAAGAAACATCACATCTGTTTGGGGCGGCACAGCCAAACAGGTTTGCTACAAACTTTAAAATAAAAGCAAAAAGAAACAGCTTTGTGTCTGCCGAGACTTTTATCTTCAGGAATTGCAGATAAGGGACTGTGGATCTGGGCGCATCCAAGTGTCCAGAAAGCCATGAGGCATTATTGTATTGTTATGGTGCTATTGCCGACTCATGAGATTGCAGGTTAGTTTTATTTTTGCCAATGGACTTTGCTATATTTTGATTTTCTGCAATGAATAACCATTCTTCTTTTTGCCTAAATTTCTTAAATTTTAATATATTCACATAATGGAACACAAATCTAACACAAGTAGGATATTGCCCTGCTCAGTGGACCTCAAAAGGATCAGAGTCAGCACTGGGTTCATAATTCTTGCTTTAGCCTTTAAGGAAATATTTTTCTGGGAAAGTGGGGAACAATAAAGGACATAGAATGGGGTTTTCAAATCCTTGTTATGTGTCTTTAAGCTCATCTCAACCAACACAGTCAATATCCAGAAAGATGAAGCTGGCTAGAACCTTAATTCCTCATCAGGAGCTTCTCCACTCTCTCTCCTAATAAAGATGTGCTGGTTTTATATTAAGAAGTAAAACAACAAGAACAGCAACAACAAATTGGAAAAACAATAGTGAGACTGTGGGGAGAAGCGAGAGAAGTCTGCGTGGACAGCGTATATGCAAGGCAGGAAGGAGGAGCTTGTGCTGAGACAGTCTCCACCGTGGAGGGTGAGGGTCATGGGAAAAAGAAGCAGGTGAAAGGACAGGAATGAAGAAGCAGAGGAGCTAACTGCTGCAAGAGCAGGAAGGAGACAGTGTTGGCCAAAGCTGTGGTTGCATGCAGCAAGAAGTAACTGTTCAGGCCAGTGTCATAGCTCAGGGGAGGCCAGGGCTCAGGAGCAGACGTGTAGGTGTCCTGGAGTGAGTGGATACTTACTGAGTGCTGGAAAGTGTGAAACAAGGGCCCTTTGTGGCTCAGCTTTTTGGACACTTGAACAGTTTGAGGAGGACTATTAAAAGGATATATAGTCGCCTGCTACGCAAGCGCAAAGACCCGAGTTCGAATCCCGGTACCAAAAAAAAAAAGGATATATAGGACGCCTGCGCAGTCCCCGGTGGAGTGGCGGCGCCTCTCGAGGTCGAGCCGACGCGGCTCTCTTAGGCTGCGGGCAGGAGGATAGTGTAACTCCCGCGTGTGTAACATCTGAAGAGATTTGCTGGATGTGAAAAATAACTTTCCCAAACCACCTTGGTGTTGTGCTGTGTTTGTTGGGACGATGTTTGGGAGACTGAGTCTTCCGCAGCTGCTTTTTGCTGGCATAGTGGGAATTCCTGGAGGAATATATATTTATCAACCAATATTTGAACAATATTCCAAAGATCAAACGATGTTAAAAAAGAAGGTGGAATTAACAGAAGAATCAAAAGAGAAGAGAAGTTAATGCTACATGGAGTTGAATTGTAATAACTGCATAAAGTTCAATTGGACAACATTCACAATAAGGAACCTAGCAAAAACTTAGATATGTATTTTAAATATAAATAAATCATATATAATGATAAAAAAGGATATATAACTAGTATACCATAGCTATTGCCTATTTTAAATGCCCCCCACCATAGTACTGGGAATCAAACCTAGGGTCTTCACACTGAGCTATATCTTCAGTCCCTTTTCATTTTTTATTCTGAAATAGGGTCTCACTAATTTGCCTAAGCTGGGCTTGAACTTGTGATCTGCCTGCCTCAAACTCCTGGGATTACAGGCCTGTGCTACCACATACAGCACCCTATTGCTTATTTTGAATCATCAGTCTTGCTAGACACAGACTGATTTGTCGGCAGATTCCTGCCAGAGAGTTAGCAAGACTTGGACAGGGAAGTGACCTGAAGCCAAAGAAGACCACAAAAGAAGAGAGTGTGGAAGGACTTGTAGAATTTCTAAATGGAAAATAGAAAAGGTGCTTTTGATTAGGTAGGTCATGTGTGGGGGTCAAGGACACTGAAAGGTAGAAAATGCCAGGTGAGGAAGTTATCATTTATTCACAAGATTTACATCCCAAACTGCTTGACCCCTGCTATTGGGACAGCAGTTCAATAGTTGTCAGAGGGTAGGCAGAGGAGTGACAGGGTGAAAGAAAACTTTGCAGAGAAGGCTCCAGGAGGCCACAACCCCTCACAGATCACACAGGAGCTCCTACACTCCAGCCAAGTTGATAGCTGCCCAGGAGAGAAAGCTTGGATTTCTCACCCAGTTACCAAGCACAGCATGGCTCTCAGGGGAACCTGGGCCACCCTAAATGGCCATTCCTTGGAAGTCCAGGACTATGGGGGGTGGGCAGGATGGAGTAAAGCCCAAAGGAACCCCAGTAAAAGGGGTAGAGAGAGAAAGAGAATATGGAACCGGGAAGTGGCTCTTAAACTAGGCAAGAATCCTGAATCAAGATGGTCTACAGCTATTTGCATATAGAATTATCTCTATATTATCATTTCTGATGACAAAAATAAGGTATTTTTTCATGAAAAAAGTTAAAGAAGAAAGTCATCCATAATCTTACCTCCATATATTTAAATATATTTCCTTCCTGTCTCTTTTTCTGTGACTATAGTGATCAATAATATATTTACAAATACATAGTGAATATAATAGTTCACTATTATTGTTGTTTAATTAACATTTCTTGGATGCTTACCAGGGCCCGGTACTGTTCTAAACTGTTTATAAATGCTGACTCATGCAATTTTCATAAGAGCTCCATGAAGTATCAACATTATTATGCCTATTTAGCAATAAAAGAAATTAAGGAACAGAGAAGTAAGGAAATGTGTTCAAGGGCACACAAGTAGTTAGTGGGGAGATAAGAATCAAACCCAGGTCTGACTGTAGAGCTTACAGTTTTATTCAATATGTACACTATTCCATAATAGTTTTGCCTTAAGACAGCATGAAATATTATCTTGTGTGTACTTCCCAGATCATAAAAGTTTACTTAGTTATTTTCTCATAATTCCTTATAATTCTTTGATCCTCATCGACCCTTGTTTATTCTAGAATCCAAGAACAAGGAACTACTTGAGTTAGTAGTGAATATACTAAATTTATGTTTAGTAAATATAGATTTAATTCTATATGTTTAGTTGATATATCTATATATAAGCTATATAATTATTTAATATATCATATTCTAGAGTATTCAAAACCAGAAACTCTACTCCATGACTGAAAGCAAGTAAACATTTCCATTGTTTTCTCAAATTCTGCCTCTGCTCCTCATCCTCAGGGATCTATTCATTTACTTGGCCCGGAATTTCTGAGCACCTATAGATCCCAGGGCTGGCTGGGGAATCCAAGGCACACAGTTCTCTAAGGCAGACAAAATAATTCACATGGTGAGCAATGTTGGGGGGAGTTAGAGAGAGATAAGCTAGAAGAGGCTCTCAGAGAGAGGATCTCTGACCTTAGTCCTAGGGAAAGGAGGGAAATCCCAGCACAGGGAGCAAAATGTGCAGGGGTATATACAAGGGAAACATAAATACACACACAGGGTGGTTGCTGGTATTGGAAAGGGAGCAGAGAGAGGATGGTATGGAAGGGAAAGAAAACAGCACCACATAGTTAGATATTAAAACCCAACTATGGGGATTCATTGGGCAAGGGCATTAAACAGGCAAAGAACAGGCATATTTGCATTTTGGAAAGATCATTCTGGCAGAGCAAACACTGCAGGGACAAATACTCGAGGCAGGAAGACCAATTAGGAAATTGATGCAGGAATCTAGGGACGAGAAAATGGCGGCCAGAATTAGGACATGGAGCAGTGGGGATGGATAAAAGGGAACACAATTCTCCTTTTTAAAATGCAACTAAAAAGTCATATCCACTAGGCATTATCTTAGTCTTTTCCTATTGCTATAATAAAATGCCATAGGCTGATAATTTATGAAGAGCAGAAATATATTTTCTCACTCTCCTGGAGGCTGGAAATCTAAGATCAAGGTGCTGGCAGATTCAGGGTCTGTGGGGGCTGCTGTCTGCTTCCAAGATGTCACTTTGAATGCTGTATCTTCACATGACAGAAGGTTGGAGGGGAAATAAAAGACTGAACACTGTGTGAAGTCTCTTTTACAAAGACCTCATACACTAGGGCTCCATGCTCATGACTTAATCACCTAAAAGGTCTACTTTTATATTCTAACACATTGGTGATTAAGTTTCAAAACATGAATTTTGAAGAGGACGTAAACATTCAAACTATGGTAGATGAAGACTGGATCTTGGTGGTAAAGAAGGAGGAAGAGGGCTGAGAATGTGGCTCAGTGGCGCCACGCCTGCCTGGCAAGTGCAAGGGCCTGAGTTCAATCCCTGGTACCACAAAAAAGAAAAAAAAAAAAGGAGGAAGAAAGGATGAGCAAGGCTTTTAACCTGACCATTGAGTGGACAGAGGTAGGCGATAGTACTCTGTACCAAGATAGGGATTATCAGTACTAGTATATGAATTTTAGTTTTGTAAATATTAAAATTTAAGTATCTAGTAAGCAATCAGAGATATGCCTCTGGAATCTATGAGAGAAAATCATATTGGGATTATGGAGTTTAGAGCCAGAAGTATTTGGATAGTAACTAAATGTGGACTTCTGGAAGAGATCATCCAATGACAGTGTATAGACTGAGAGATGGAATTCTGGGAGATACCAAAGTACATAGAGTGGGCAGATGAAGATGGTTGGTAGAAAAGACAGAATGAGGGCCAGGGATTTAGTTCAGTGGCGCCACACCTGCCTGGCAAGCCCAAGGTCCTGAGTTTGATCCCCAGTACTGGAAAACAAAAACAAAAATGAAATGAGGCCAGAGAGATTGAAGGGGAACCAGGAGAGACGGATGCTCAGAAGTCAGACAGCAAGAGACCATAGTGTCAGATGAACAGATTGCTATGACTGAGCCATGAAGTGGAAGAGAAGGATGGAGGGAAATTTGAAAATGTTTAAATAACAGTGGGATAGAGTGTCTGGAGAAGTTGTTGAAGACAGAAGAGACAAAAAGCCCCCAGACTGTCTTGTTTGGTCATGATGATGATATGGTTTATTAATCCCTACTATATGTCCAATACTATGCTATAGATTTAGGTAGTTTTTTTTTTTGTATGGGGGATTGAGGCAGGCACGGTGCCACTGAGCTAAATCCCTGGCCTAGTTTTAGGTAGTTTTAAGAAGAATTTTGTTATGGAAATTTTCACATAGGCACAAAAATAGAAAAATAATGTAATAAAATCTCGTGTGTTCATCATATTTAATAAATATTAACATTTTGTCAATCTTATTCCATCTAAAAAAGAAATTTAAATACATTAGGCAAAGAGATTGGAAAACTCATTTTTAAAAATAAATGCCTAGGTCATAAAATCCATCTTAACAAATTTAAAATACAGAAGTTTTATAAAGTATTCTCTCAGACCATAAAGGAATTAAATTAGAAATCATTAACAGAAAAACAGTTGGAAAATTCCACCATGGACATTAAACAACATACTTATGAATAGCACACAGTTGAAAAAGAAGTCTCAGAGAAATTTTAACAATATTTTAAACTAAATGAAAATGAAAATACAACATCAGCATTTGTGGGATGCAGCAGTAATAGAGCTTACAGGGAAAATTATAGCTATATATATATATATATATATATAATAAAAGAAGAAAGATATAAAGTAAGTAGTCTAAGCTTCTACTTTGTAATTTTCTTTCTTTTCAGTATAGGGGATCAAACTCAGGACCTTGCACTTGCCAGGCAGGCATGGCGCCGTTGAGCTACATCCTCAGCCCTCCACTTTGGGAAATTAGAGAAAGAGCAGTTTATAGACATCAAAGGATAATAAATGAATGTTACAAACAAATTCTATGCCTAAAAATTTGATAATTTAGATAAAATGGACTACTTCCTTAAAAGATACAAACTATTAAAAGTCACACAAGGAGAAATGAATAATCTGAATAGGCTTGTATCTATTTAAGTCATCCAGTGAACCATTAACAACCTTCCAAAACAGAAAGCACCAGCTCAAATGAGTTCTTGGATGAATTCTACCAAGTATTTAAAGAAGAAATCCTAGCTGGGTGTGGTGGAGCATGGCTGTAACCCCAGCATTTGGGAGGCTGAGGCAGGAGGATTGCCATGAGTTCAAGGCCATCCTGGGGTTTCATAGTGAGCTCAAGGCAAGCCTGGACTCATGTTCATGGATTAGAAGACTCAATATTGTCAAGATATTAATTCTTCTCAACTTGATCTATAGATTCAATTCAATTCCAATCAATATTCCAGCAAGTTATTTTGTGGAAACTGATACTAAAATTTATACAGAGAGAGAAAAAACTCAAATTAGTCAATTCAAAGCTAAAAAAACAAAGTTGACACTACCTGGCTTCAAAACTTACAATAAAACTAAGTAATCAA